AAAAAAAAAGAAAAAAATCAATGCCTACATTACCATTCCACAGGCCAGGAAAAGGAAACACAGCTAGGCATGGTGGCACACTCCTCTAACCCCCAACTACAGTGTGAGGCAGGATTATGAGCTTGAGATCAGCCTAGATGATTTAGCAAGACCCTGCCTTAAAATAAAACTAAAGAGCTGGCTATGTAGCTCAGTGGAAGCATGCCCTGGGTTCAAACCTTAGGACTGGAAAAGGGAAAAAATGGGAAAGCAAGAGCTAGAGATTTAGGTTGATGACACAGCACCTGCCTGGGGAGCTTGGGGTTCTGAGTTTGATCCCCAGTACTCAAAGATATGAGAAAAACAAAAATGGGAAGTCAGTCCAAGCCCTTCCATTATCAGACTCTTCCCTTCCCCCAAGAAAATCACTACTGACACTTTTTTCCTTACGGTAGCTTTTGGTCCTGGCTAAGTCCAGTGCTTTCACCTGATAACCAGTGCACTGCCACTTAGCTACAGCCCTAGCACCTACTGCTAACATTTTGATTTTTTGATAGGGCTTGCTTTGTAACCCAGGCTGGCTTCACATGCATGGTGGATCCTCCTGTGTCAGCCTCCTAAGTACTAGGGTTCTAGGTGTGCACCACTATGCATGTTGACTTTTTACAAACCTTTAAGTACGTACTTCCTTTTCTTTCTAGTTTTACCGTCTGTGCACATATTTCTGTGTGTGAATTTATTTAACATAACCTTTGGGTTTTGCTTCATTTGCTCAGTATTGAGATACATCATTTGACTTTGACTGTTTTGTTTTGCTTTGCTTTTATTGAAGAAGGGTCTTGCTATGTTCAGGCTGGCCTTGGACTACGTACCCCTGACTGGTCTCCAACCTACAGCAACCCTCCTGCCTCAGCCTCCTGAGTGCTAGGATTACAAGTGTGTACCACCATGTCCACCAGTTCTACGTACTTTGTCTATTGTAGTACTCAGAACCATGAGAGCTGTGCCCAGCCTAGGCTCTTAAAACGACACAACTGTGCACGTTTTGTGTAGGTCCTGCCACAGGTGTTCAGGAGTTTCTCAGAGGCAGAGAATGGAACTACTGGCTCACAAGGTGTGTCAGTTTTGCAAAATAACACCCAACTGTTTTTCCAGAGTGCTCAAAGCAATTTACACCCTCACCACCTGGGTATCAGTTCCTGTTGCTGCATTTGCTCAACACTTGCTGTTGTCCAACTCATAACATTTTTGCCAACTGGGCAGGTATTGATGGCATTTGTTTTCCTGAGCCTTTTCACATACTTTTTTTTTTTTTTTTTTTTTTTTGGACAGAGGCTTCCTATCCAGTTCAGGATGGTCTTGGAACTTGCAACAATTTACCTGCCACAGGGGCTGGAGGTTTAGCTCAGCAGCATAAGCACCTGCCTTGGAAGCAGGCAGTCGTGAGTTCGATCCCTGGTACTGATAAAAACGAAAAAGACAAAAAAAAAAAAAAATTTACCTGCCTCAGCCTCCTGAGTGCTGGGATTACTGGTGTGCACCACCATGCCTGGCTCAAATGCCTCTTTCAAGTATTTTTATCAATTTTCCCATTGTGTTGTCTACTTTTTTCTTGGTTGCAGGTCTTCCCATGCTTCAGATACTAATACTGTGTAAATACCCTTTTCCAGTCTTCTGTGGTTTACACAAAATTTCTAAGAGTTAAATCTGCCAATTTTCTCTTAATTTTTCCTACCTTGAGATCACTAAATATTTCTCATACTTCCCCAATTTTTGTACTTGTGTTTTAATATCACTGTTGCCTCCCCAGACAGTAATCATTATGTTGAAAATTGTTTTATTTATACTATAAGCAAATCACTGCTCAATGATGCTGTTAAATTTGGGATGAATTTGGGATCAAGTACAGGTAGGAAGTATACAACTAGTATGCTTTCCACATAGCAACTTCAATTTCCAAGAGGGTAAACTGAGGTTCAGAGAGGCTGATACACATGATCAAGGAATATAGTCTTCTAGATACAAGGGTTTACAGATTCTAGTCTGGCTATTTCCCAGCAAGTCCACGGAAAAATTAGCCTCTGTAAATCCTAAATTTCCAGGAGGGGGCACACAAAAAACCCACAAGGGCTTGGCCCAGCATGGTGGTACATACCTATAATCCCAGCACTCAGGAGGACTGCCATGAGTTCAAGGCCAGCCTGAACTATATAGTGAAACCTTGTCTCAAAAAACAAAACAAGGGGCTGGGGATTTAGCTCAGCGGCATAAGTGCCTGCCTTGCAAGCAGGCAGTCGTGAGTTCGATCCCTGGTACCGATAAAAACGAAAAAGACAAAAACAAAACAAAACAGGACTAAAATGTGCTAAATTCAAGTGTAACTCTCTCAAGCCCTCCTACCTGTAATACCTGTGACTCCTGATCCCTATGACAACTTTCAGAGGGCAGGAAAGCAGTCAACATGATGAATGACAGGTGAACTCTTACCCACATCCAATCCACCCTTTTCCTGGTATCTCTGACTCCCACTGATTTTTCCATCAGGTGCTGCCTAGCCTAGCTGTTGATTCAAATGACATCTGGAACATTACAGCCTACCTGGTTCCCCGGAAGAGATCAACCCACGTTCTCTCACATTATTTAGGGACTGGGTCACTCCGAGGCACCTGCCCAAGGCCCACAAGCCTAGGGCGGCTACCCTCTGGGAGTGGGAAGCTGCCAGTTTCAGTCTGCACTGATAAGAAGTACAGCAGACATGGTCGCTCCCTGAGGAAGAATGACTACCATTCCACTTATTTTTCAAAACACACCACCTACACATGAAGGCCGCTGACTTTATTGATCTAAAAACAGTGACTGTTCTGCCAAAAAAAGGGAGCCAAATGGCATCATACAGACCAGAGAAGAGGTGGAAGTGAGGGAAAGGGGCTGGGAATCCACTCAAGAAAGCTGGGAACTGTCGCCAAAGAACTGGCAAGGGAAGAATGAGGAAGGGAAAATGCATGCAAGAGTGAAATTTCCAAAAAAGTTGAAATAGTGTCGGGGAGAAAACTCCCAAAAGACTCTTGAATACATCAGAGGTGAGTACGACAACAGCAATCTTTTCCATTGTAGAAGAGAGTGAGGTGCCCCCACTCAGCTGCGAACTCTAGAGACTCGGACTCTGCGGCTGGGGATTGACGGCTCCCCAGACAGCATCACAAGAAGGCATCACACCACTCCCGGAGGCACCCAAAGCAGTCCCGGGACTGCTTGGCGTTGGCACCACACGTGTCCTTCAGCCATTCCCGGAAGAGGTCTTCATCTTTCTTTAGCACCAGAAATTGGCCAAGAACCACATAGGCCTGGAAAACAGGTAAAGGAAAGGTACTGCTGCTAAATACAATGTGGTCTTCAGCCATGCTACCCTGACTGTGCCAGACCTTCTAAGGTTCTCGCCAGATTAGTACTAGGATGGAAGAGCAAGTATTTCCGTGGCATTCTAAACACAGAACTTTCTGTCAAGGGCAGATTTTGCCCCACCCCATCACCATCGAGTGGGCACAGCCACCTCAGATTATCTACTACTGTCAACCCCACCCCTCATATATACTTGCCTTCCTCATTCTCAATCTGTCCTGAAATAATGCAGTCTCCCCAGGAACCCACAGCCACCCCACACCTTGTCAAAGCCTCTTTCCTCCAACTTCTTGCCCAGGACTTCACCAATCCCAGCCAGGCTCCCCACTGGCTTTTCCCCCATGGGCTCTGCCACGAAGTCTCGGTGCTTTTGGGACGTAGTCATCTTGATCAGGATTAACCTGGGAATCCCAAGACAAAGCAGGTTAGGACTGAGAACCAGAAACTCCTAAAAACAATCTCATATTAAGAGGAAGATACGGAGCAGGGTGTGGTGGTGCACGCCTATAATCCCAGAACTTGGGAGGCTGAGGCAGGGTTGTTGCAAATTAGAGACCAGCCTAGGCTACAAAGTGTGTTCAAGGCCACCCTGAACTGTATAGTGAGACCCTGTCTCAAAAAAAAAAAAAAAAAAAAAAAAAAAAAAAAGAAGAAGAAGAAGAAGAAAGATACGTCGCCGCTATGGCTGTTCATTTTCCTCGTTTCACAGATAAGAAAACAGCCTGGGAGAGTCTTCCCCACTACTGGAAAGAAAAATCTCTTCCATGACCCGGTGACTAGGTTTCTTATACTCCCCAGGGAAATACTATCTTGCTCTAACAGGTGGCGCAAGCAAGGCAGTGGGAAGACTTCCAAGGTCAGCAGCCAGAACCCGCCCCACGGCTGTCAATCCCTCGATGACACTGGCTGGAGAAAGAAAAAAATGACACGGCCCATAACAGCCACGGGGTGCGATAAATCAACCAAAGGCCTGGACCGGACTGGTCCCCGGAGACTATTCACCCGCGCAGACTGCCAGCAACACACCCGCCACCGCCGTCCCGCCGCGGCAGCCCCGGGAGTCCAGCCCTTGTCCCAGCACACGGCGCCCCGCCCCCGACACACTGCGCCCCGCCTCCTCCACGCGCCTCGGCTCCTACGCGCAGTTCCTCCTCTCGGCACAGCGGAGCCCTCGGCAAAGGCGCTTCCTCTGGTTCGCAGCAGCGACAAGGCGTCCTTCTTCGCCTTGTCCCCGCTCCTCCTCCCGCTTCTACCCAGGACCCGGCTCCCCGACTCACGCTCGCCGGCAGCTTTAGCCCCGCTAACGGTTCCTCCCGCTACCCGACAGCTCCCGCTGAGGCCTCAAGTCACTAGAACTTTCTTCAATTTCCGCTTCCGGGTCGCCTCAAGCCCCGCCTTAAAAACCTCCAAATTGGGTACTTCTAGCCACTGAAAGCCATAGAGACGAGGCTCATGGGCTACGTGGTATTCTTATTAGCGGTTCCTTTTCAGTCCTCCTCGGAAAGCGAGGCTGTCTTGTGTATTCTCTCATCTTTGGCAGCACTTACAGTCTGAGGAAAAGAAACCTCCAAGAATACTTGCTTTCTCTGTTCCGGCGCCCGGAACTCAAGGAAATAGGCCTGACAGATCTGGCAGTGGGAAGAGTTAGAGGGACGGAGACCAGAGGGGAAGTGCCGCGGAAGACTTCCGAGAGTGCGCCGGAAGTACAGGTGTCGGCAAAGTCCAACTGGGGCTAGAGTCCTCGCTATCCGGCAGGCGAAAACCCAAAACGCCAGATACCCGAGGCCAAACTAACGCTGCCATTGTAGCCACCAGCGGGTTCCATTTCTGTGCTTTCGTTGGCTTGCCTTGAAGTGAGCCGTGGACGAGTCGCTCTCTGCGTCCAGCTTGGAAAACGAGGTGGTTGTTCAGGCAGTGCCTGTGGACCCGACAGCCAGAGAGAGTAAGTGGGGGTCTTTCTCTGAAGCTCTTTCCTCTGGAGTAGAGGGAGACGGAGACGGGGAACAATAACAGTTAGAGATGATATATCGGCGAATGGTTTGGAAACATTCCGTATTAGTGTGGTACCGGCTCTTGTCTTCGAGGGACCCGTATAATGGCATGTGCTGCAGATTGAGATCGCCTACCTCGATCCTTAAGTCATTTCTAGTTTGGACCGTCGTGTTGTGGCGTAATTGAAGATTGAAGGTTGTGTAACTTTGCTAGATGTGGGGTGTACAGGTATGTTGAGACGGTAGTTTTCAAACTCCAGAGAGTCAGCCAGAATGAGTTCTGTGGGACATGTGTATAGTTTGATGGTCACCATCAAACACAGGATTTAGCCTCATATGACACATGAGGCAATTTTTTCTCATTTTATGGCTGTGCTGAGTTAGGCATTGTCTTTTCTGGGGTCCAGAGAAGTTAAAGAGTTAGGAAATGATCTGGGTTTGGTAGCCCACGCCTGACATCCCAGCACTGTGGAAGGCTGAAGATCACAAGCCCAGGCCCAGCCTGGGATCTTACCAATACCCTGTCTCAAAATTTTAAAAGGTCAAAATTAACTAATTAAAATAAAAGGACTGGGGAAGGATCCTCAGTTCAAAGGCCTTGGGAGCAATTTTCCGAACTACAAAAAGGTAATAATTGAGGCAGGTTTTTAATCCAGACAGAGAGATCTTAAGAGTCTGTGATTTTAAACTAGGTAGGGTGCTGTATTATTTCTTAGACCATCCCCTGTCTTCAAAATAGTCCTGGCTTCTGAGACTGCCATCCGAGAAACTCAGGAGGAGGAGCTGACCATTTCTGTGTTCCTAATCACCCTGTGGCTGGAGCCAACATGTCACAGGCCACCAAGAGGAAGCATGTGGTGAAAGAGGTGCTAGGGGAGCACATAGTACCCTCTGACCGACAGCAGATAGTGAGGGTGAGTGGCGTTGGGCACAAACTGCTCCCCACCAGCCCTGCACTGCTGTTGGATCCTTAGGGTGGGAGCAGGGTGCAGCGCAGCTCAGGGGTGAAGGGTCTGACTGATGAGGCTGACTGAATCTTGGTCTGTCCTGGACTAGGTGCTCAGGACCCCAGGGAACAATCTGCATGAGGTGGAGACGGCCCAAGGGCAGCGCTTCCTGGTGAGCATGCCTTCCAAATACCGCAAAAACATCTGGATCAAGAGAGGTGAGAGCAACAGCCCTGTAGGGACCATAACCATTTCCTGTTGCCATGGCTTTCCCCATCACTGGCTTTGCCTTTTGTCACCTACAGGGGACTTTCTGATTGTTGACCCCATTGAAGAAGGAGAGAAGGTGAAGGCTGAGATCTCCTTTGTGCTTTGCAAGGACCACGTGCGCGCTCTGCAGAAGGAGGGGTTCTGGTAGAGTGGTTCCCTTTATTTTTGACTCTGGCTTCTGGGAGGTCTGACTTCTTAGCTAGGGAACTACGGGAGGGAAAATCATGGCATCTCAAGGCAGGAATAGCTGGAAACAGTTGTTTTGCTGAGAGGTTCTCTGTTCACTCTGACCTGGCTCTTGTTGTCACACAGGCCTGAGGCCTTCTCTGAAGTGGCTGAGAAGGACAACAACAGGAACAGGTGAGGGACAAAACCCAGTCAGCAAAGACAGAAAATAGGGGTCCATGTCCTGGTGTTTTGAGGGGAAAATTGAACCTTCCTCTGTCCCTTTGTAGGATACCTCATGACAGCTGCTAAGTCCATGGTAGAATAAGATGAAGATGTCCCTAGTTAAAGTCCTGGCTTTGCCACTTTCAGCTGAGTGACTTTAAGCAAGTTACTCAATAGCTTAAGGCTTTCTTTCCTCATCTGTAAAATGGGAACCCTGTGAGGAATAAAGAAACTAATGTTTAGAACACTGCCTGTAGAATATTGACCCATCATGTTGGTTAGTGGTAGAGAATTGTTACAATTCCTAGGTGAAGCCAAAGGCTGGAACAAATGTTGGGTGGGAGGCAGTCTGGCTTATTTTCTAAGGCCAGGTTTTCTCAGTGTTTGCTTGGTGTCTCTCTCTCTTTCACCTTAAAGGGCTGCAGTTTCTCTGAACGCCCATGGCTCCCTGGCGGCCTGGAAACATGACCGTGCTTTTCTTAGTCTTCTGGGTAGCATATCTCGTTTTCCCATCTCAGGAGGTGTTGGGCTAACTCTTTTCCCCTCCCCTTGCAGACAAGCTCAGCCAGAACTCCCTGCGGAGCCGCAGTCATCGGGAGAGGAGTCTGGCTCTGAAGATGACTCTGACCTCTTCGTTAACACCAACCGCAGGCAGTATTTTGAGAGTGAGGAGGAAAGTGAAGAGGAAGAGGCTGCTTGAGACCTGGGTTGCTCTTCTCCACTTGCTCAGGGACTGGTCCCAGGCTCCCCAGGCTTGGACATTCCCAGGGAGCCCTGCAGATCTTTGCCCCTGGATGGGGACAAGGCAGGGTCCCTCTGTGAACTGTCTTTCTGACTTTGGTGAATTAAACCCCTGGTGGGTGGTGACTTGGTTGGTGTCTGAGTAACTCTCGGGGAGAGGGAGGCTTGTGATGTAAAAACCTGCTCCTTGGCTGGGGATTTAGCTCAGTGGCCTAAGCGCCTGCCTGGCAAGCGCAAGGTTGTGAGTTCGATCCCTGGCACAAAAAAAAAAAAAAAAAAACCTCATCCTTGGGCGCTTAGGGTCCAGTGGGCAGAATGGGAAGGAAATGGGGATGGGCAAGTGGTTGGCCCACACATGCTCTCATTGGGTGCTCAGTGCAGGCTTCGTGCTATTCTTGCAATGTGTGTAGCAGCGGGGAGCCACCCACTTTGTTGCCTGTTCGAACTTAATTCCGATTCAAGCATTCAGGGATGTAGACTAGGAGCTGCCAGTAAGCTGCTCAGGACAAATCTCTTGGTGCCTCCTGAGCCACTTCCCTGGCCTCTAGTCTTCCGTACCACACATGCCCAGCACTTGCTGCCTTATGTCCACTGACTAGACCCTATGTCTCTCTTACCCTTTACCATCTGTCACCTTCGGATTGTGTGCTTTGTGGTCTATAAACCGATACCTATACCTGATTTTATTTGGAACTGGATTATTTCGTGAGAACACTGACATCCTATAACCTTTTTTTTTTTTTTAATCAGTGCTGGGGATTGAACTCATAACCACACATTTGCAAGGCAGGCACTTATACTGCTGAGCTAAATCCCCAGCCCCCCATAACCTTTTAAATTGAGGCTGCTGCTGGTTATGGTAGCACACAGCTGTATTCCCAGTGCTGAAGAGGCTAAGGCAGGAGGATTGCCAAGAGTTTGAGGCTAGCCTGAACTACATAACAAAACCCTGTTTTGGAAACGAAAAAAAGTAAATGGAAGCTGCTGTTTCACCCTCACCCTTTGTATCTGAGCACAGAGTAGTAGGACAGGTGGCCTCCTTGTAGCTGTCTGCTCATCACTGTCCACTGCCCTCTGTAGTTGGCTTTTGGCTTCAGATGTCTGAACTCAAGCTGTCCGTGCCTCAGCCTCACAAGTACTCCCTCGGACCCTCCTGAAAATCATGTCATCCCACTTCCTGAAAGTTTTTCCCTAGATCTGCACTGTCCTTGCCATCACTAGCATTGACCTAGTCACTGACCTGTGATTGGTGAGTTTACCGCATGGCTCCACGTTCTTCTCTACTGGGTTTTCTACAACCCACAGTGGAGCTGACAACACTGGCCCCTGGTCCCTCGAGATCCCCAGGATGTTCACATCCCTTCTTGTCCAGCCTGTTGCCCACACCCCTACTTACTCCCTGGTTCCCTGACATTACTAGAATTGTGGTACCTTTTGAATTTGGGTACCTGTACATTTACCACCACCTGGCTTTCTTATTTACCCTCTGTGCAAAAAAATCTGTTTTTTGAGACAAGGTTGTGGTAAGGTACCCAGGCTGGCCTCAACCTCGAGTAGCAGGGATTACTGCATGCACCACCATATATACCTGCCTTAACAATTATTTATCCTCATCCTCCAAACCTTGACATTTTCACCATTAGCCTTCTGTCCTCACTTCCATCCTGTGCTGTGTCACCCTGTCTCCTTGCATTGTGTTCATCCAGCGCCACAGCATGATCAGGAGGAGAGACAGCAGCCAGCATTTGTACGTTAATTCTTTACTCTAACCCTCAGGTGGACACCACCCCCAGCGGGTCTCTTTGGCAGGTCTCCTGGAGTTAAAAGTGCCAAAAATCTGACCACAACAATAAAGACCCAGAATATTAAGCCAAGGGCCTGGGTCCCACAGTAGTGTGCTGCAGGATTCAGCTGAAGACCTAGAGCCCATGACAGTGCCTCCCATGAGTCCAACTGGAGGTCTAGAGCCTACAGCAAGGACTCATGCCAGTCTGTTTTATGGGTCTGCACTGGGAATGCCCAAAAGTAGAACTAGAAAGTCTATGCCACTGGGGTGAAGGAGCTATGCCAATAGGTTGAGGGTTCTACACTGGAGCCATGTAGTCACACTGAAGAACCAGGGCTTCCCAGAAATACCACAGCCATCCTCAGTGACAATGAAGTCCTGAGCTCCTCCAATGATGACAACAGTCTAATGCATGCCAGGAAGCCAGTGTGACAAGCTTCTGGATATTAAACAGCACACATCTTCCCCTCTGGAGCCAAAAGTGATGCTCAATGTAAGGAGAAAAGCTGCCCAAATGTGAACCGAGCCATTCTCAGCAACAAGGTCCCGAGCTCCTCGGATGATAATAGCTGAATTCACATTGAGGAAGCCAGCATGATAAGCTCCTTCAAGAGAACCAAAACTTGAAACAGCAACACTTAGGAAAACCCACAATGCCTTGTTTTCCTTTCCATGTCTCTTTTTGTTTGTTTTGTTTTTGTACCAGATTGAACTCACAATCGCACACTTGCCAGGCAGGCACTTACACCACTGAGCTAAATCCCTAGCCTCCATGTCTCTTATGCTGGCAGCTTTCCTCAGGTGGGCCATCTACACTCAGCACCATGCTGATTTAGTTCAGCTGGTGTTAAGTTGACCACTAATTTTAATCCATAACAGTGTGTATGCAGAAAATAAAGCAGATGAGTTAAAGATACATTTCTGTGTGAATGTACAAGTCATCCAAAGTGTGTTTGTTTTTTGTATTTGTAAGACAGGGTCTGGCTCTTTATCCTCATCCTCCAAACCTGACAGGAATTCAAGCTGGCCTTGAATTTCTTACATAACTTAAGATGGCCTGTAACTCAGGGATGGAGAAGAAAACAAATAGAATAGAACACAACAGAATAGGTACAGTAGAGTAGAGCAAAGAACAGAACAGAATCTAAAACCGATGGATGTGGTGGTACATGCCTCTAATCCCAGCACTTGGGGGAGGGAGAGGCAACTGGTAGTTCGAGGCCAGCCTCAAAGCATAGTGAAACTGTCTAAAAAAGACAAAAAAAATTAAAAATTAAAATGCATATATGTGGTCCTCTTTTTGAAATTTCACTTTAAAAAAATTTATTTCAAAATAGGTTGTCACTATGGAGTGTAGGCTGGCCTTGAACTCACTTGTGTAGCCTAGGGTGTCCTTCAGCTCAGGGCAGTTTTCATGTCAACCTGAGTGCTGGGATTACAGGCACGTGTCACCATTCCTAGCTCTTTTGGAATTTTAATCTGCCCACAGGACTACGCTGGATACCTGGTAGATGATCATCCCATCCTCATCCCTGCATCCCCTGGCCATTTCATATTTTCTCTTGGAACAATTTTGGGATGAGCTTACCCACTGTTATTTCATTGTTGTTCTGTCTTTTGGGGTCTGGTTTGTTTTGTTTTGTTTTTTGGTACCAGGGATTTAACTCAAGACCTTGTGCTTACCAGGCAGGTGCTGTGCTGCTGAGCTACAACCTCTGCCCAAGCTTACCTGTTTTCACTTAAAAAGTCCAGCTGGGACTTTCCTTGGCAGACCACTTGATTTGGGAAGTGATGTCTGCACAGTTTTGGATCTTCCTATCCAGGACAGAAGTGGTTGGGGGGTAGCTGTCTTCATATAGGATTTTCACAGGTGTAATTTGATTTAGTTTTAGGAATTCTATAAAATACTTTGTTCCTTACTACAGAGTCCTCATTACTGTGCTATGAATGCAGTCTGCTGACATGATGCTTCTATCACTGGCATAGAACACATATGTTGCTGATACCATCAATCTGCTTAAACTCTGATGCTCTAAATTCTTCAGTTGATTTTCTTGGGTTTCTATGTAATCAAATCATACCCCACTACTGGCGTTCTTTATCTTATCCTGTTCCATCCTTTACATTCACTTGTTTTTCTCCTGAATCACAGAGCTCAGGACTTCTAGTCTAATGTTGAAAATCACAAGTTTTGAGGCCAGCCTGGGCAACTTATTAACTTAGCAAGGTCCTAATTCAAAATGAAAAATAAAAAGGATAGGGATGTAGCTCAGTATGAAAGCCTTGGATTCAATTTCCAGTACCAAGAAAATCCTACTTTATATGGAACCAATCCCAGTCACAGGAACAACAGAGTTTGGTGATGTTTAGTCTTCAGGTTTAAATAGCTTATTTAACAGGAGTTTGTTTCTTCAGTTTGCCTTATTCATAAAAACATCTGCAGCTAAGTGTGGTGGCACAGGCCTGTCATTTAAGGACTCTGGGAGGCTGAGGCAGGAAGAGCCCAAATTCAAGCCCAGCCTAGGCAATGTAGGAATTTAGTCGCTGTCAAATTTTATTTTAAAATTTAGACCGGAAGCCAAGTGCAGTAGGATACACTTATAATCCCAGCACTTGAGAGGCTTAGCAGGAGGTCACCATGAGTTCCAGGCCAACCTGGGCTACACAGTGAGTTCAGAGTCAGCCTGAACTATACAGTGAGACCTTGTCTCAATAAATAAATACATACATACATACATAAAGGGACAGGGTACTTAGGCAAAGACCCTACGTTCAAACCATAGTACTGGAGTGGTCTGTGTTTGGGCCTTTTTTAGAGAAATACTTGCTTTTTAGTTACCCTTGTGACATACTGTTTACGGAAATTTCCTATGTTGTTTAGCTTTTTTTAAAAACAGGATCTCATGTAATCCAGGCAGGGCTTGGTAGCCTGGGGGCAGACATGACCAACAAATTGTGTCTTTAATTGTGTGTATTTTCTTCGCTTTTCCTAGCTTTGCAAGAAGTCTGTCTTCTCTGTTGAATTTTCCATTCTTTTTTTCTTGCATTTGTCTGCTGGTTTTTAGCATTTCGAGTTACATGTGTAGTCAATCTCAATTTGTTAATATAAAAACATTGCATAAGTAATGCTTTAACTGTCCTCCACTTGATGTGTGTGTGTTTGGCCTTGGATGTGTGACCCTGTACTGGAGGCTGACCAGATCCTCAGCTGCCTGCTCAGGAGTACAGCAAGGAACAAAAAAAGACAAAGAATTCTGCAGGTTCAGGGGGAACAGGAGGTCAGTGCCTCAGTTGAGCAAAGACAAAGACCTCTCCTCTTAGCCCATTTTTAGTTAGGTTTTAGGCCTCTGTGTGTGTGTGTGTGTGTGTGTGTGTGTGTGTGTGTGTGTGTGTGTATACAGCAGCAGTGGTCAAAGCAAATTAGTAACAGAGAAACAAAGCATACTCAAAGAATAAGGAGCAGGTTAATAGAGAAACTGCTTTTGTATCTGCTGCATTGTTTCAGAGTCACAGCACAGCCCTTAACAGGTGTTATCTTGCTCTATGAGCATCACAGTTCAGTGAGTCTTCCCACCGTGACCATGACCATGACTGGTCAAGCCGAGCTTCCGCATACCTTCCAACCCACAGGGCAAAACATGCTTCAGTCTCAGGCCTCTGAGCCACCTTTATTACAGATTCTTGTCCCTGACAACTCTGACCTAATGTGTTTCTCCAGGTCACTGAATGAGTCTGTCATCTACCCGTAGCCTCTTCCTCAGCCCTGGAGACCACCCCCTCCTCCCACTGCTGGAAACCAGCCCCAGGCCTTGTAGGCAGCCTTTACTACAGAGATATAAACACAGCACCCCATCCAAAACAAAACCTTTTCATGTCTACTTCTCTGAATCTTATT